GCGACACGGAGGGCGCCAAGCCGTCTAGCGGGACAGGGGCGGGCTCCCGGGCCGGCGTCGCCGTAGCGCCCGCCAGAGGGATGGGAGGGACCTAGTGACTAGTCTCCCGCCCCTCCACTGCAACTGGTTACACTGTACCGCGTGCACGCATGCGGACGGGTTGCCTACTCGTTCGGGCCACAGGGCGTCAATGGCGATAGGGAGCAACCGCCGACAACCGCCTCATTGCGTGCACAGAAAAGCCGAGCGTACGCGAGTCAACGACATTCGTATGGAGGCACAAGTTTGTGAATTTCAAAGGAAAATTTTCACCTTTATGCCCTTACTTGCCCGGGTGGAAATTCATAATATACCTTCAAGCCAATGGCGTAGGAGACGGGGGGGCCGGGGGGGCCCGTGCCCCCCCAGGTTTTGAGCTGGGGGGGCCTTGCCCCCCCAGAATTTTTGAAAGACACGATCAAGGAAATAGGTTTAGGGACGACGCTCAGACCACACACGAAAAAAAAAGACTTTGTCGTGGGGATCAGTTCTGTGTGGTAGGCTGAATTCGATAGCTGGAATCGAGAATCCGATACTCACAATAAGCAAGAGTTGGTTGTCACGACCGAACACTTGTACGGATAGAACCAGCTGGAGTTTGTTGTATTCGTACAAGTGTCCGGTCGTGGCAACCAACTTCTGGTTGTGGGTCGGTTGTTGGTATCGGATTCTCGATTCCAGCTACATCGAGTTTAGCTTACCGAACGTAACTGACGAAATCATTTTTTTCCGTGCAGGCCATGCCACGCAAATTTTCGTTTCATTCAAATTTTAGTGTCCTATTATTTACATAATCCTGATGCCCTTAATCAATTTTTTAACCTATACACTCCGCCTGGTGGGTAGGCAACCCACAACACGTGCCCCCCCAGCTTTTTGGACCTTCCTACGCGCCTGCTTCAAGCGTGCGACATTCACACGCTTGCGTTTTCAGTGTGCGTACTTGTGCGGCACGGGACGAGCGCACACAATCTCCCGCCTGCTATACAGTGTTCCGTTCTGCGTTCAACTTTTCTCGACGAGTTGAACGGTAGTTGTGCGAAGCGCATAATGGGACTTGTAGTGAGTGGGAGGATAATGCGTAGGGCAGGGATGTGGGGTGAAGTGGTGGCGCACCCGCGTCGCCCAGGCCGGCCGCGCCACGCCCTGCTCGCTACGCCCCGCCCCGCCCCGCCACGCCGTGACTCGCCGCAGCCGACCACTCAGACTGCCAGCGGGGTGCTTCCGCGCGCATGGGCTGGGGTTGGAGTGCAACAGGCCCGACTTGACTGCCGTGAGAGCGGGCGGCGTTGTTGGCGAGGAGGTGAGGGGGGGGGGGGGGCTTGCGTGACCCCAATGAGCAGCCACCCGCGAGAGGGAGAGTGGGGTCGTGTCTTGTAACATTGTTACAGACGCCGTCGTAATCCAACAACATGGTGACGTAATGTCCTTTTCAAAAGTTTTGAACTTACATTTTATTTGCATAGTACAATTTCGTGATGTTTCATCTTCTTTATTTTCGGCTCGAAACGATTCCAATAAAACGCGAACGGAAGAACGCGCACATAGCGTGTTCGTTCGTACGAGTGCGGCGCGTTGGAGAAGGACGCGGGGGTGCCCCCCCCCCCCCCCGTCCTCGACCCCTTCGCCGCCCTGCACCAAAGCCTTCTGATGAGTCAACATGTCCCTACAATGGTCGCGGTGATTGAATCGAACGGCCCGGGCCCCGGCCCAGTAGGGTCCCCACCCCACCCGCGAGCAAACGCTGTGCAAACGTAATCGCTGCTACTGGAGGCCTTGGCAGAGGTTTTAAATGCGATGCCATTTCACCGATTGTGTGCCGTCAAACTTCCTCTTTTGTCCCTCTGGGCCCATTTTGTTGTAGGCCTTCCCATAACTCAGCTCCGGGCCGAACTTCGTCAGGGTTAAGTCTTCCACAAAGTTTCACAGTGCAAACTAAAAGTCAGGGCAAGTTTTTAACGCTGCGCCCGCCCCGCCCCGCCCCTCCCACGGTCGAGCCCGGCCCGGCCCGGCCCCTGCGCGCAGCAGGGGGCAGTACAGCACAGGGCCCGCAGCCCGCAGGCCGGAACTGCCAATGACACTCTGGCCTGATGCCTTGGCTTGGCGAGAGCCGGCCGAGAGAGCCGGAGAGAGCCGGCGAGAGAGCCGGGCGAGAGCCCCAAAGGGATGTTGGTTGCGGTCGGGGGCCGCCCCGCTGCGAGTGGAAGCCGAAGGGAAGCCGGCGAGGCGAGGCGAGGCGGGCAAGTCTGCCCCTCAGCAGCATCCAATAATAAGGAGCTGCCCCGCTCCTCCCCGCCACGCCCCGCCACGCCACGCCACGCCCCGGGCCGACACGCCGAGTATGACCAAGATGCCACCACGACGCTGGTGTGGGGCGGGGCCCGGCGTGGCGGGGGTGAAAGGCAGCAGTGATAATAGGGGAGGGCTGCGGAAGGCGCGGCGAGCCATTCAGGGGGTGGTCGGGGGAAAATAAATAATAATATTAATAAGAAAGGAAACCAAAAGGGAAAGGAAAAGAAAAGGCGCGAGGGTGGGGCGGGCGGGAGGTCGTGTTATTAAGCAGGAGTTTCTCTTTGATTGCCTTTTGAAACAGATAAATCAATCATCTGATTTTTCGCTTCATCGTCAGTTAGTTGAGAAACGTTCTCGAATGCGTTGCTAGTCGCCCCCCCCCCCCCGCTCCTTTGTACGCAAATATAATCAAAGAGAATACAAGTCACGGGCTCCTCTTTTTTTTCTTTCAGACACAATTCCTAATGCGTTACGGCACCCCCGTTTATTCCCGCTCGGACAGACTATCATCACAATGAGCACATCGGACGTGCCCCCTCCCCCCCCTTTTCGTACTCGTCCTCGCACTTCCCGTTCAGTATGGCAGTGGCTGCGTGGAGCGGGCATAGCAGGAGAGGAGAGGAGGGGGGGACCTCCACGTGCCTCAACACGTGTCATGAATCATTCATGGCTCTATTTCCCTCGCATTGTCAGTGGGAATGGTTCGGCGCCAAAATGCGGACACCGCACATCATATCACATCATACTATACATCTCATAACTGGAACAAAATCAACCCTCCCTTCAAGGTTGTTAGTGGGTTTTTTTCTACTACCGTATCTTTGGCATTACTAAGTTTTGCTGACTAAAAAAAAAAGAAGCAGTATTTTTTGTTCGTGTCGTGACTTTATTAGTAACTAATTTCTGCACAATTATGCAACCCTGCTATCGTCTCGCACGGTGAAAAAGGTTTCTTGTATTACAAGACCTTGTCTTGGATCTTATGGAGAACGCCAATGGCATCCAAGACCAGGTCTTGTAATACAAGAAACTATTTTTACCGTGCGGTGTAGGCGTGCCGAAAAAAAAATGTACGTAAACATTTAGTGTGTGAAAATAATCAGACGTGGTGGTTGTTTTGTCGTGTTTGCGTGCTGTGGGTCGCGCCCCCAGCGACACGCGCCGCCAACGCCATGGCACCGCCCTCCAGCGCCGCGGCGCGTAAGCGGATTGCCGTCGCGGGCAATTTGGACCTTTATTTCCACGGTGCGTTACTTCCGCAAAAATATAAAATGGAATGGTGATGGGGGTTTCTGTATATGGGGGTGGCCGGCGCGTACGCGGCAGGCCCCGTACCCCTCCCCCCCCTCTCCCGGACACATTTTTTACGAGCCCCATAATGATTGTACCTCAGCTATCGTGCGAAGAACGCGCCCTCGCCTCCAGCCTAGTGTGGTCCCTGGTCCTGGGGTCCTGCACGATAGACCGGTTAAGGCGCGGTAGGCCACCAAAAATGTGAAGGCTCTTCACAGGCCTGGAAGATGCTATGGTTTCACTGTAAAACTGGTTGGCGTCTTATGACACGTTATACCACGACAAAGTTTGGCGTCCAATGGTAAACGACGCCAAATTCTGGCGCCTTTTTTGACGCCAAAATTTTCTGTCTTCCAGAACGACACCATTAGCGTCAAAAGATGCCACAATTTGGCGTTCATCTTCAGAGGACGCCAATTTTGTGGCATCATAAGAGGCCAGCCAATTTTCAGTGTGTTGTTCAATTGGGCAGCTGTTTCTGTGATGCATTTTTGTAAATCCTCCAAAAAAAGGAATGCACCGCATTCGGAGAGGGACGGAGGGCAATATATAACATAAATACAAAAAAAAAACTGCCCTGAATTTTTCCTTCCTGAAAACTCCCCTCACCCTCCTTCCGTTTCCTTTCCACCGTCGTGTATGCGTCCAGTCGTGAACTGCGTCAGAAGCTGGGGAGAAACTTTCCAGTCCATCAGTCCGAGTGCAACAGTCTCTTGTTCGCCGCTCACAATACAGGCGCGTTCTACCGCCGCCCACTCATTACCGCTCCGTAATAATAATAACAACAATAATGCGACTAAAAAGAACGATACCAATCTCCTCCCTATTTTCTTTTTTTTATTCTCTCCGTTTCTTTTCTTCCGCGTTCCAGAGTGTTTTTCTTTGGGGATGGGATGAGCGGGCGCGCGGGTGAGTCTGCGAACAGCGGCGGTAGCAAGGCCCGGGAGCGGCCCAGCTTAGGGCCGACTGATCCCGCTCCCCCTCGCCACCCCCACGTCCACCCTCCACAACCCCTTCTCCTCCCTATCCCCCGCGGCTGTCTGCCGTCCACCGAAAACGGCTCCATTACCATCGGAATGGCCCCGCCACGCCACGCCTCGCCACGCCCCGCCACGCCCCGCCACGCCCCGCCACGCCGCGCTGCGCCGCGCTATGCTGGATCAATTATTTCACCCGTTAGCAACCCCATAAACGAGTCGCTGCCTTGCGCAGCCCCCGGGCCCCCGAGCCCCTCTACTTGTTGCCAGGCTAGAGGAGCTGCTGCTGCTGCTGCTGCAGCTCGGAGCCCCCGGCCTCGGCCCGCCGACAGCCCCGCTGCGCACCGCTGTCTCGCTCGGCTGCCTACCCCCCGGTCCGCAGGCGCTCCCGATACTCACATTTCCGTCTCCACGTCGTCCATCCTGCTTCTGACGAGTCTCCTCGCTCGGCGTTGGTCCCCCTCGTCAAGCCCTCTAATCCACACGAACAGGGCGCCTGCAAAAATAAAGGAAAAAATGGGAAACATGTACATATTCATACGACTTTTTCGTAAAAGCATAAATTTTTCTAAGAAGTTGGCTCTCGGAGTATAGATTCCGCGGCAGCGCGGCGAAATGGGTCTAAGGGCAAAGCGAGTGAAGGCGGGTCAAAGCTCAACACTCAACAGGTTGATGTGTCACACACCTCTCTTTGCTGGCTCGTATTCTTTTTTTTAACCTTTTTCCTGACGGTAGACGCAATCCCATCGCAGTGCAAAGAGGGGAATGAATATATCGGATGATGCCCTATTACGGGGCAGGGGCAGGGACCCACCGTGGGGCGGGGCCGGCGGGGCAGACAAGCGCAGCGCGGCTCGCCTCTCTGGTTTATACCTCGCGAAGCGCTTCTGCCTCCATATTCCTCCTAATGAAGACCAGGAGCGGCCCGGGTGCCGCCGGGCGGGGCGCTGCGCTGCGGTGCTGGCACACGGGGCCCGAGCGTAGCGGAGCGCCCAGAGACAACAAAATTTAAAATGCCTTCCCAGTCCCCAGTACACACCATGCCCGCCCGAGCCAACAGGAGGACGCAACGCGCCGCAACGCAGAGAAAATAAAGCCGTGCTAAAACTAGCAAGTTTTTCATTTTTTGAAATTAATTGGTCCTTTTGTTTCAAACCTATTTTTTTTTTCTTCGATTTTTCCACGCGGCTTCTATTCGGGGAACTCTTTGCCCTTTGCGGCACCCACGGCCGGCGAAGGTGGAGCATCAAAGAAAATAGCCTTTGGAGGACAAGTGTTTGAACCTTTGAGGAACGCGGGGGTCGTATAGGCAATCATATTACTGACGACACAGGCGAAACAGACTCGGGGCAGGGGGTGGGGGTGGGGGGGTCAAAAGGAGGACCCGCGCCTGGACTGTGAAGGGGACGACAGAGGCGAGGGGGCGGGAGGGGGACAACAAAAGGCGTTTAAGGCGATTGGATGAGTGTGAATCGATAGGAATAAAGTGGCGAGTCTTTGACTTCCTGCTTGAGAAGGCAGCCATCTCCAAATTACTTTGTGTCTGCTGCGCGCTCTGCTGCCGAGGGTCGCGCCGTAGCCGTACCTGCTGCCAAAGTTCCGCCTCTCACGCGACCAGGAACACTCCCGGAGTAGATTAACGGCATCTTAGCTGCCTGCTTTAAGTAACAGGTCGGAGATGGTCATTCTCATGGGAGTAAGCTATTTCCGGTTCGCGGTGGTGCATCCGGTCAGGGTCGTTACAGAGCGTGAAAGCATGGTTTCAGTAAAATTGAGACAGCGGTCAGTAAAATTTCTCCAGGCACACTAAAAAAGCCAAAGCCAAAAAAAAATTGTTATTGTTTCCAGCAAACTTTGTCGACTCAAAAAATGAAATAAAACCTTTCAGGTCACCAGGATATTCTTGAACATATCTCATTTCACAATTTCTGAATCTTTGCTTAAAATCACATCCTGCGACACATCCGAGGCTGACATCGCAGTCGTACGGCCTCGTATCAAACCAACGTAATCGGTTTATGGACCACCGCTCTGTTTACAGGGGTGGAGAGGGGGTTGATTATTTCGTCTTTGGCAGCCCACCCACCTCAACCCTCTCCCCACGCTGGCCCCGCACAACCGTTCAAACAGGGGGGGGGGGGGGGGAGTCGGGAGGTTGGAAGAGACGGAAAGGGGCTCGGTAGCAGCAGCAGCGGAGAAGAGAGATGTCTGCGAGAAACGCGACACGGTGAGACGAGCCACTCTCGCTCCAGCAGAGAGACAGTCTGAGACTGGAGACGACCGGCGAGGCCCCGACACGGCGTTCAGCAGCATTCACCGCTCCCAATGAAGCCATTGAAGGCGCCTCCTAGAGGAGCGGGGCCCGGCGGCGTGGCGCGGCGACGGCGACATCCGGGCCCACAATATCGCAACGCCGCGCCAGCGGCAGTCAAATGCCCCCCCTTTTCCCTTCCCCTTCCCCTGCCCCCTCGCCTTCATCCAACGCGCGCGCGCGGGGGGGTCGTTCGCGCTACGCGCTCTACGACCGTTTGTAATCATGACAAACCAGATTTTTTGGCGGGAATGGAGCATCAGCGGCGTGGAGGGTAAGGACGGGGGGAGGG